TATATATATATATATATATATATATATATATATATATATATATATATATTTTTGTAAGTGAGAGAGTGTGAGTGAGTGTGTGTGTGTGTGTGTGTGTGTGTATATATATATATATATATATATATATATATATATATATATATATATATATATATATATATATATATATATATATATATATATATATATATATATATATATATATATATAACCAGACACTGAAGTCAAATGACACTTAAACATGTTCTTACAGGTTGGTGGTCCCTCTTCCTGCTCTTCTTGGAATGGCAAAGGTACATTTATTTATGGCTCTATTGATAAGTTTTTATAGACTCTTTTCACATTTCTTGGTTTGACAGCAGTAGCAGCGTCATTTATTAGTAAAGTTATAGCGCTATTTATATCCAAAAATAAACCTCACAATAATGTTTTCACAACTTTCAAAAAGAAAGAAATGAAAAAATAGTGTGAGACTGAAAAAGGCAGATAGAAGAGGAAACAACGTCAAATGTACTGACCTTCCCCCATAGATTCTGCATTACAAACACCTCGCATAATCTTCCCTGTTTTAATCTGATGGAAAGATGATATAATACATTAGCCCCAGTAAAAATTGTCTGTGCTCGTGCCCCAGTGTAGCAACACCCTGATGCAAAGTGTAACTTTATAAATGTACAACATATGGATGAATATTCCGATCAAACTGAATACAATCTTACATCACCAACACACGGCAAGCGGCACATTAATAAGAAAAAAATAATCATATTAGATTACAAACAACCCAACAAGTTGTTTAGCACGTGTGCATCACTGCTGTTATGTTTACACATGTAAAATGTGCGGGTCCTTTAAGGGGTGGGGCTGCAGTTTGGTGTGTGTGTGAAGAGAAGAGGGAGAGACAGAAAAGGAGCGTTTTTTCGCAATGAGACTCTTTTCAGTGATGTTCCCTCTTTGATGACTAATTTTGTTGTACCACATGGAGAGTAATAAATGATTCGACCAATTTACATGTGTTCTCGTTCATTCACCAACTGCAACGAAAAGAGAAGGGAGTTAACCCCGAAACTATAATTCAGCCCTAGAGTATAAATTGAATCTCCCCTGCTATCTCTAACACAACAAACAGACAGAGCAGGAAAGGTTTTTCCTGAGGTGATTTAAAGCAAAACACACAACGACACTCAATCAAACATATCTACAATGATAAGGATAATGGTTACTTACTAAGTTATTAACGCACAGCAATACCACATGAAGTAAGGAAGGACGGAGAGCTCCATTATGGTGCACTGGACAGGTCTGAACAAGTTGCACCCACACATGCGTGAGGCAGGCAGGTCTGTACAATTACGCAATTTTTCGGCTTAAAGACATCGGCCTAATTTAGACATCGAACCGATAGCCGATAATCTTAAAAATAGCATTTAACGGACGATAAAGATATGGCAGCCAATATATTGTGCTTCCCTACCTGTAACTTTATAAACATACATACTTTTGTATAAATAAATATTTATATGCGTTATATAATATATAACTTTCCAGGATTTAAGATGCAGATGACTGTTGAAACACATTATTACAGTCTTGTGGAAAGGGTCTATTGACAAGGCTAATTCTTCAACTTATTCAGCATTGTGGCTCTCTCTTCTTTGAAGGAAATCTTGAGTGGACGACAACTGGATGTGAGACAAAAATGATCGACAGTAAAAGCATAAAGTGCTCATGTTCACATCTGACGTTCTTCGCAGTGCTGATGGTGAGAAAAGATTAAACTTTTTCCACTACAGGGCTGTTGAGTGCTTGATTCTAACTGGCAGATGAGCAGTCTAAGGGTTTGGTTATTGTCAGATAAAAACGCAACTAAAGTAGTTCTAGCAGGTATTGCATCACTACACTTAATGATTAGAGTAATTGCACAGCTAAAACAGTCAAAAATCACACCAAAACACAACAGAAGGCATTAGAGGAGATGTGGAAGAAACTAGTGCTACACACAGGAGGTGTTCGAGGAGGATAAACACCCGACAAAAGCCTGAAAAACAACATCTGAACAGAGGAGCAGCAGTGGAGACGAGATAATTGAAATGGTGTAGTCCGGGCTGGTGAATAATTAGAAAATAATGCACACCCAAGATATAGCGGTTACTCCACTTCATATCACCACCTCAGATGTGCATTTTGTATTATTCTTTACATAATGTTGATATATGAACTTACAAAAGATGACCATAAAAAATAACAATCAAACGTGCTTCTAAAATGGATTTCTTGCTAAAAGGAAACAAATGATATTAAAAATATCATCCAGCTGATCTGATTCAATCTGCTTTTCTCTGATTTCTCAGTCTCCGGTCACAGATGCAAACGCTGTAGCGCCGTATCTGGAGTCACTGACCCTCATCTCTGCTATCGGCTGTGGGATCTCTGTGTTTTTTCTGGCCTTCGCTCTGTTCATCCATTTCCTGCTGCGGTAGTCTACTAAAGCACAACATAAATATTAAACTGTTTATTGTGACAGATAAAGTTACAAACGCAGGTTGTTTTTTTCTCTTTAACAGGAAAGCCAAATCCAATCAGGCCACGAAGATCCTGATCAACATGTTCGGTGCTCTGTTTCTCCTGAATGTGTCTTTTCTGTCGAACGAGAGCGTGGCAAACTCAGGAGACAAGAATGCTTGTGTCTTCATAGCTCTGCTGATGCATTACTCTATGCTGACCACATTCACCTGGTTCTTCATTCAAGCTCTTCATATGTACTTATGGCTCATCCGACAGAACGTCACCATCACAAACTACATGAGGAAGATCACCGTGTTGGGCTGGGGTGAGTGACGGAGCAAATGCCTGATGTATAACAACGGTTCTGTCATATCCTGAGATTTTGTTTTTTTCTCCCAATGATGTCGCTATTTTCCCCAGTGTTTCTCTTTGTGTTCATTTTGTTCAGCTGTGTCTCATAAGTCTACCCTATTTAATCTACCGTCTTGTCTTCTCTTATTGCTTGGTTTTTGAGTTTGACCTGCTCTTGTCCTTGCCATAAGGCACCTTCTCAAATATCCTTGTTATCACCTCTCGTTGTTTTGGTTTGTTTGTATTTTGGCCTTTTTTTGCTTCAATAATGGCTTTGATTATCTGCTTTTGCTCTAGTCAGTCCTGAAGACTTCCTATGTTTGCCTTCCAACGTTATTTTATATGACTCTGTTGGACTTCCTAAATAAAGATCTTTTGGAATTTAGACCTTGAGCCTTGGCAGATTGGGTTCATCACCTGTTCTGTGGGTGAATGGTAGATAATTTGTCATTACACCAGAGACCAATGTTTGCACCCTAGGCTCATGTCAAGTCATCATTAACCCAACTGAGGCCACTGCCCAACAATTGTTTACTATTGTTGCTCAACACAATACTTTCTGACAGTCTGTGTCATGGTCCTGCCTAACCCCAATGGAATTGTCAACCCCTACACCTTTTTATCCATGTCCCTCAACCTCAGCTTCACCTCACCAGTTATTCCTTTTTTGTAGAATAACTGGTAAGGTCAACCATTCCCTTCCAGGAAGAGAGGCTTTCAAACAACCATTCACCTTATATCAAGGAGGTAGGATTGCAGCAGACTATGCCATCCAATTCCAGACAATTATTGCGGGAACAAGCTGGAATGATGAAGCACTCATCCTTTGTTTCCAGAATAGTCTGTAAAGGATGAGTCTGCCAATGACAAGTTGGCTACCAGAGATCCAGTTAACACTCTTGAGTCCCTAAATGACCAAGCTATCCTCCTAGACAGCAGTCTTAGAGAGAGAAGATTTACCACCTTGTATGTTCTTTTACATTTTCCCCAACCTCTGTTTTACTCCATGTGCTGCTGAGTCAGCTAATTCCTTAGTGTTAGATCCCCCAGAGCCTATGCAGGTGGGTCATACCCGACAATCTTTTCAGGAAGGCACCTGTCATATAAGAAGTCATCTCTGTCTCTATTGTAGAGGGTATTGTCACTTTTGCTTTAAGGGTCCAGAGTTAAAGCAAAGCTCCCTGTTCCAGGCAGTAAGAAGAGAGCTGTCTAAGGATTTACTAAACTTGACATTAGGATCTGATGGATATTCACTCCAAGCTCTTGTTGATTCTGGAGTAGTGGACATGGCATTTGCTTCTCGCCTTAACAGGAATGTGAACCTGTTAGATAACCCACCGGAGGTAATGGCGTTGGATGGGAGACTGATAGCCCCTGTCTCCCATCTTACAGTTCCTTTGCATGTCTCTGTCTTCTACCACATGGGAAAGATGTATTTTTATCTAATTGAGTCTCATGACCTTCCTCTGATCTTTGGCTACTTCCGGCATTTCATAACCCCCACATTGACTGGCCTTTTGTTGAGCCTTTCCACTGGGGTTAATGTTTCATAAGGTCTGCTTAAACTCATCTAGTAATATTAATTTCGAGTCTCAAGAACCTATTGACCTTTCTCATGTTCCACGCTTTTAGCAAACAGAGGGCTTTGGTTTTAACGCTATATAGGACATATGTAATGTAGTGTCCATATAGCACATATGTCACATATGGCCGGACACCCTTTTTCATGGCTCCTCCCTTTGACCTAATCTGCTGAACTAAGCTGCCTTTTTTTCAAACATGACATGCGCAATGCTGACCACCTGCAGTGGATTAAGCAAGGGGATGAGTGGAAGATGACATTCAATGCTCCTACAGGGCACTACGAGTATATGGTTATGCCTTTCGACCTCACCAACTGTCCTGCAGATGTTTAAGCTCTCATAAATTATGTTCTCTGGGAGATGCTGACCATCAAGCCCACTCGGCACTGTTCTTTTATTGGTTCGGCTTATCTTACTGTCCCAGATCTAAGAACCTTAAGCCAGATGCTATGTCATGAATATATGGTAACACTTCCCAGGAAAGAACCCTAAAACCTGTCATTCCCCAATCTACGATCCTTGCATCCCTCAGATGGGGGTTTGAGACAGCCATCATTAAAGCTCAGACTCAGATCTGAGAGGCAGTCTGGCTAACTGGTTGTATGTTCCTGGTTACTGGTGTCTGGTTTCTTTGGTCTGTACCTTGGTTCTCGCTGCAAATCAAAAGGGGATTGATCTTTCTGTATTTCCCTAAAGATTTAATACCAGTTTTTATTTTTTATTTTATTCTATTGTAAACCACTTGGATCAACTACGGTTGTGTAAAACTGGTGTCTATAAATAGCGCTTGGCTTGCCTTGCCTTGCCTTCCTAAGACAGTTCTTTCTCAAGTCAGTGGGCACATTCCTTCTGGCTTACCTGCTATCAAGGTATTTCCCGCACTCTGGAATTCTACAAAGACACTAGTGGCCCACAGCTAAAGAGGATATAATATAATTGGTTAATGCCTGCCCAGTTTGCAACTGTCATCTACCCCCCAACCCCCAAGGTCTCCTACACCCTTTATCTATTCGGCACCGACCATGGTCCTATCACTGGATGAACTACATCAGCCTTTATATTCTCCACAGCAACACCACTATCCTGGTCAGTGTAGACCAATACTTCAATGCCGCTGACCTCATTACCTCACATGTCTTGCGAGTCTTTGGTATTCTAAAGATACTAAACCACATTGTGTCTGATCGGGGCCTCAAGTTCTTATCCTGGTTCTACAGCTCCTTTTGCCATTCATTGGGTGAGTTTATTATGCCCGATTCACATGGGGCTTTAGCGCCAACACTTGACAAAGGGAGCGTCTGAAGTTGGGGCTGACATGATCATCATATTAGCATCAGCCAATGAAACTAGTCAGCAATCGGCTACTGTCTGAGTGTATTTGCATACAGCTATAAGACTGGCTGATTGGCTGACACTTCCGTTGGTGCTTGAAAAGTTTAAAAAAGTCCCAACTTCTGCAGCAAGCAAAGCCCCTGAAGTGAAGCCTATGGACCCACAATTGAGTTTGGTAATGCTTGATGTCACCTACTTAAAGTGAACGGGAAGCTTTCATGCTGACGCCCCATGTGAATGAGCCATTAGAGTCTCGAGACCACCTCTTTGCTCGTTCTCCACTGGCTTATCCCCCTTTGAATGCCAATTCAGATTCTCCTCTGCCCTACTCCCTGAAAAAGAGATTCAATTCGCTGTTCCCTCTGTTCAGCAGCATATCAAGAGAGTTGTTCGCCATAAGCTCATTTAAACTTCTGCCCAGTACCAGACACAGGCCATTTTTGCAATATATGCAAAAATAAGAAAGTGGTAAAGCACCTCAGGTGGGAATTATTTATTTTAGACAGCTGTTTTTTTGTTTTGTTTTTTATTGATAATATCCTTGTTTTGCATGTGTTTCAGGGTTTTCGGCTCCAGCTGTTATTGCAGTTGTTTCTGTAGGTGGATATAACAAAGTGACCCTAACAGCATCGTCTGGAAAAGTCGCACAAATGTATGCTTAGTTCTTAAGTCACAAATTTATGAATTATCAGCGTTTAAAATATCTTCTGAGTGTCCTTTCAATTTTTTTTCATGCTCTTGTAATTGCAGGTGCTGGATTACAAATCCTTTAATTCACTATGTACTGAACACTGGATACTACATCTTCGTTTTCATCTTCACAATAGGAATCTTCATCACTATCCTCACTAGGATTATCCAGAGTAGACACATAAGAGCGACTGAAGGCATGAGACAGACGTTCAGAAAGCAGCTGATGATGGTGTTGAGTTTGTTTATTCTGTTTGGTCTGACGTGGGCTGTTGCCTTCTTCAGTTATGGACCGATGCTCATTCCCTCATATTACATCTTCTGTGCGCTCAACTCCTTTCAAGGTGAGAAACTGAGGGCTTCTACTGCACACACAGATCTTAACTAATTGTTTAAATTATTGCATGCTTATTATTGTTTATAAAAATATCTGGAAACATTCTTAACAAGTATAATTCTCACTATTAACTAGTATCTTATATGTTTATTATGATGATTTTGGCTGTTTATTAGTACTTATAACACATATTCTTATTCTACATTTCCCAACCAATACCCAGGGGTAGTCCACCCTTTACTTGTTTTAAACCAGTTTGAGGTGTTTTGGATTGGGACAAATAAAGGATGAGTAATAACAGAACTTTTATTTTTTGGGGGGAACTATCCCTGTATAAGTATTAATAAGCAGAAAATTATGAGTTCACTGTCACAAAAAGGCAAAATTACTTGTTGATTGTTAGTGAGAATTGTACCTCAAAATAAAGTCAAGCCAAGCTCATTCTGAAAACGTAGTCCCACGGACGTTTTTTTGGAGACCGCGATTTATGTAGCCGGAGGTACGTATGGTTGTATTTCATTTTTTTAAGCGAACGCTATGGGGTGGTGTGACGCAGCTCCTCTTCACACCTGCAGCTGACAGCTTACCTCCGTGTGAAGGGCTTTCCCGCCGCAACCAGTTTGTCAAGTTAACTCATCGTATACGGCAGCGGAGTGGAGACGCGGAGAGGAGCTGACCGTGATGACGGCGACTACCGGGTTTGAGTCCGGGGAAAAGCGGTTCCATAACAGGGTGAGAATGTGGTGAAATCAGAAAATGTGGTTAAAATCAGACGAGGGCTTTTCTTTTTCTGGATGGCTTTTGTAAATCGTTGCTTGGATTTAGGGAAGCGAGCCATATCAAGGGTCAATCGGTAAAAATGGTTGGGTTTAGGGAAGGAGGAAGAGTAGGGTGGGTCGGCCGATTGGCTGATCGCTCCAGTCAGTCATTTAGTCAGTCAGTCAGTCAGACGACAGTGACAGCAACCTCCGGGGCTTTATGCGAGAACAGCGTGGACGTGAACGGCGCTCGAGAGAGATGTTCGAGATGCAA